ATCCAACGGCACCAGAGGGAGCGGAAAGAGGCTTCGCTGCCCCCGCGAGGCCGCCAGTCTGAGGCGGCCGCTGGGGGACCCCCTGGCCGGCGGAGCCGTCATGGGCCCCAGGGGGTGTCGACACCGCGGCTTCGGCCTCTGCTGCCGCCACCGCGTCCGCGACCACCCCCGCCTCTCGTGCCCTCGCTTCCAGCGCTGCTGCCCACGCTGCCGCCGCCGCCGCCTGCGCCTGGGCCGCCTGCCAGCCCGCGAGAGGGGGCTCCGCAGCGGGCCTGCAAGCCCTCGCAATCCTCGTGCAAACTGCGTGCCACAGGGACCCACGTCACTGAGCCTGCAGCGACCTCGGTGGGCTGCACGTCAGCGTAGTACTTCGCCACCTCCCACGGCACGACGTGCGGATGAGCGTGAGCCGCCACGAAGCTTACCAGTCGCTCACACCAAACTTCCAGCGCCGTCAGAGCACCCAGACTCACCTGGTCGCAGCCGTACGCCAGATACCCTTCCTCGCATATACAACGTGACACGTGGGCGGCACGATCCGTGGTGGCCAAACCCATCTCTCGAAGGTACTCATCGAGCCACAACCGCGAATCGCCGCCTACCTCGACTGGCAGATGCACCACTCTGGCGGACACGGTGTCGTCCGAATAGCCCTGGCAGCCATCGTCCTGGAAGTACTCATCGCCGTCTGGCCCACCGATCCACCAAACGTCATCGCCGAGAAGATGGAGCAAACTGCTCTTGTGATCTCCGCCGTCGCCGTCGTACTCCACGGCCCCGTACTGGCCGAAAACCAGCTCACTGTACCACTCCGCCTCCACGTCGAGCGGGAGGCGCGCCATGCCTAACCGCAGCGGATCGGCCTCGCACGCAACAGCGGCCCACCACGACGCCCAAGAGGTTGGTGAGCACGGGCGGTAGCAGCAGCCACACAGCCTGCCCCTCCAGCGACGGGCCCTGCAGCTCCACCTGCGGGCAGACGCAGGCCGGGCAGGCTGGGCACTGGGGCACCACTGGGCACACCGCCTCCAGCCAGGCGGGCGAGCCCTCGGGATCGCCACCGCCCTACACCGCGTCGGCGTCGGGCTGCGGCGGCGGGGGCGGCGGCCCGCCAACACCCAGCAGACCCTCGGGCAGCAGGCCGACCTCGGCGGCGCGCCAGCCAGCCCAGGCGAGGGCCACCGCGAGGACCGCGATCGGGGGCCGGCCGTCGGCAGGTCCCATGGGCGCCTCTGACGAGAGAAGAAAGGCTTGAGCATAGATTATGGCAACAAAGAGACATCACCCGAAGCAATACCCCTCACCTTCCCGTGCAAGCACACGCATACACTTTTCGCGCTCTGCGCGGATTTCTTGGATCTGCGCTGGACCCCCCTTCCTGGCGCGCTGAGCGCGCTTGAGGCGGCGCCGAAGGCCAGGGGGCCCCAGCGCGGATCCAAGAAATCCAGAGGAGCGCCAAAAGTTCGTCTTTATGGCTTTTTCTCTTTGATGAAAGGGGCCCGGGGACACACAAATAAATACGCACACGTCCCACGATCCCCAATCTTTCCCACATGTTTGTTGATTGTCGTCTTCCCCCCCACTTCCCATATTTTGTCCACATTTTCTGGGGAGTCGATGATTGATTGTGTCAGTGTTTTTCCCCCTCCTGAGGGAGAGGCCGCCGCCCCCCCCCCGGGATCCCCGCAGGCAGCCGGGTGAGGCGGCAGAGAGACCGCTGCGGACCCCCGCCCCGTCGGGCTCGCCCGCCACCCCCAACATCCAAGCCTGCAGTCGCCCCACATTCCCAAGGATGCGCGACGAGGATGCAGGGGCCCTGGACGCCCACTTCGAAGCTTCTTGAGCGGGGCGCGGCCAACGCATGAAGCCACGGGTGGGCCGGGGAGGCAGGACGCCAAGGGCGCCCTTGGGAAGGCTGCCCATCCTCACTATGCGGTCCGACCGTAATCTCCAGCGCGGCCCGCGCCAGAGTCGAGCGGCGCGACACCCGTGTCCCCCTGGCAGCCCCGTTGAGCCACGGCGCCGAGCCGCCTGCAGCAGGAGCTCGACCCGAGAGACCTTTCACAAGAGGCCCAGCCCTGAGACCCCAGAACGTCCATTGATTTTTGGCGTGGGAACTCCACGCTTTCCATAGCAGAACCACCGAAACCCAACAAACCCAGGGCACCCTGGAGGCAAGCAGGGTGTTTGTTGGCATGGGCTTCCACTGCATGGGGCGGGCATTCGGGACATAACGCAAGAAGATTACATGTACGATACCTCCTGAGATAACTCCCTCACCCAGCACACCCTCGGCGGTATGCCAAGGCCTTGCCCTTTCCCTCCCCCACCCAATGGGAGGGGGGATCGAGCGATATATCCCTCTCACGGTACAGCATAGACGGTTCATATGTACTTTGCCATCCTCTCGGGGGGGGGGGCGGGGCGGGGCGATGTACATACCTAGATAAATATATAGATAGATAGATTGATAGATAGATAAAGAGATATAATTATATACCTATACGTGTATACATATATATATATATATGAAAGAGCGTGTTCTACCGCTGCTGGCGGAAAACCGGGGAGGGTCATCACCGGTTCGAACCCCTCCCCCCCCCCCTCCGGAAAACCGGGGGGGGGTCACTACCGGTTCGAACCCCTCCCCCCCCCCCAGTTCATCATGAAAAGAGGGGGGGTCACTACCGGTTCGAACCCCCCCCCCTCCCCCCCTCGAAAACCGGGGGGAGGTCACTACCGGTTCGAACCCCCCCTCCCTCCCCTCGAAAACCAACCGAGTGGGGGTGCGGACAGTGGTGGGGACGGTGTTGGTGGGGACAGTGGTGAGGGGACAGCGGGACAGTGGTGGGGACAGTGGGACAGTGGGACAGTGGTAGGGACAGTGGTGGGGACAATGGTGGGAACAGGAGGGGACAGTGTGGGCAGTGGTGGGGACGGTGTTGGTGGAGACAGTGGTGTGGGGACAGTGGGAATGAGGTGGAAACAGTGGGACAGTGGAGGGTACAATGGTGGTGGGGACAGTGGTGAAGGCGGTGGCGAGGACGGCGGTGGGACAATGGGACAGAGGTGCAGTGGGGACAGTGGTGGGGACAGTGGGGACAGTGGTGGGAACAGTGGGACAGCTCAGTGGGACAGCGGAGGAGTCAGTGGGACAGTGGGGAGGGAGTGGGGTGTGGGACAGTGGGGAAGTCGGGCAGACAGTGGGGAGAGTCGTTTGCTGGCGTGTGTGGGGTGGGGGGGGGTCGAACCGGTAGTGACCCCCCTCCGGTTTTCGAGGGGGGGGGGGGGAGGGGTTCGAACCGGTAGTGACCCCCCCCCCCCGGTTTTCCGGATCCGGAGGGGGGGGGGGGGGGGTTCGGGGGGGTTTTCGAGGGGGGGGGGGGGGGTTAGGGGAGGGGGGGTTTTGCCGGGGGAGGGGGGGGGGGAGGGGGTCCAGCAGGGGGGGGGATTTTGGGAGGGGGGGAGGGGGGCGACCCCCGGGTTCCGGAGGAAAAGGTTGGCAATTTTCCACAGTAAAGCGGCGGTGGATCACGCGCTCTCTATCCCTCTCTCTCTCTCTCTCTCTCTCTCTCTCATATATATATATATATGTCTACCACCGTCTTGGATACGGCGCCACTTCCAAAGATAAACAAACATACAACGGGGCAGGAGTCACCGAAATTCACATGCTGCACTACGACCAGAGGCGCCCCCTGGGCGTCGCTGCCCCTCGCAAAAGGGTCCGGGCTACGCCGCTCGTGGCTGCGCCGGCCCCCGCGGCCGCGCTGGCCTCCCCCGCTCCGTCGTGCGGGGGGGGGGGCCCGTCGAGCGGCGAAAGCGGGCCGATCGAACCTCAGAACGAACCATACGCCACCAGGCGCATGTTGCATCCTCAAAAGACCTTGTCTGTCCCGTCGCGGCCCTATCCGCGTCGAATCCGTGTCGAATCCATGTCGGCCTCGCTGGATCCGTGTCGAATCCGCGTCGAATCCACGCCAAAGCCGCGTCGAGCCCGCGTCGGGCACAAGAGAAGGCACCAAGTTTGGGGGCAGGCGAGGTCCTCCGAAGATGCAGCGTAATCAGGCGCGTGGGCGACAGCGTGCATTTGACAATGCTCTACCTGCAAGGAGGAAAGACTGGTCTACTCTGTAAGAACGGTTTTTTGAAGGCAGATCTGCCTTCAAAAAACCGTTCTTACAGAGTAGACCAATTTTTTGAAGGCAGATCTGCCTTCAAAAAACCGTTCTTACAGAGGAGCGCCACATCGCAGCATTTTAGACGAGCAGATAAAGTAGACAGGTAAATGTGGCTGCAGATACGCAGACAACACAATAGGGGAGCTGATCCTCTCGGGATGAACTTCCGAAGGTCCGCGCGGCTTTCTTGGATTCGGCGCTGGAACGCCCTGGGCAGGTGCCTCCGCCGCCGCCCCGTGGCTCGCTCCGCGCGCCAGGGGGAGGGGGCTCCAACGCCGATCCAACGGACCTTCGACCACTTATGAATGTACCCTGGGACGCACAGAGACACACTAATACTATATGTCCTGCTTGGAGGCGTGCGTCCGACCCGAACATATAGTATACCCATCTTGTAGTATATCGTTTCCCGAGCGGCGTGGCCAGAAAGCACCCGCCACGACGCATATACTATAAGATTTCCCTGTGCGCACGTCGCCCCTGGGGGGCGACGCACATATAGTGATCATTATGTTGGGGTGACGCCGATACCCACACATGTGTTTTTCTTTTCGGTTGCAGCGCGGCAGAGGCAATCCGCACGCGCGTCTGAACATGTAACTACCCACGCATACGACGTCTAGATATTTCAGGTACGGGGTCGTCAGGAGTCCAGACGCTTTCCCTAGAGCCAGCTCGTCATCGTGAATAGTTGTTCGGCCGTCCTGGGGCCTGGTAAGGGCCCCGAGACGCCGACAACTATGGAAAACCAACGTCTTCTTCTTATTTCCTATACGTTGGATGTCTGAGCAATTCTGCATGATTTGTTTCTTCGAGTGCCAGTCGAAGTTGTAGTTCTCGTCGATGCTCTCGGGGGACAGGTCCACGCCCTTTGCGCAGTCCTTGCACCCAAACTGCCACACCTGGTAGCCGAGGAAGACCCCCGAGTCCGCCATTTCCGCCAGGTAGTCCCCCAGCTTGCTCTCGCACTCCTCCCTCTCCTGGGAAATTCTTTCACTCCGAGCGATCCCCGCCCACGAGAGCGCGGTGGGGCACCCAGGGAGCACTTGGCACACTTTGGGCCTGGCGGCCGCGGTATGCAGCCGTCGTCCGTCGAAGGCACGAGGCGGGATACCCAGGGAGCACCAGCCCAATTCTCTCTCTCTCTCTCTGAACCTGACAACCCCAACCTGCCGGGTGGGGCCACAAACGACGGCATGAGCACGACATTTCGGACCTCCGCGCCGATTTCTTGGATCGGTGCTGGAGCTCCCTGGAGGCGCAATGCGGCGCCGCGCCTGGCCGGCACGGCGCGCCAGGGGAGGGGGTCCGGCGACGATCTGGGAGATCCGAGCAGACCTCTGAAAGCTCATGCTCGTGCAACGGTTTACATCTTCAGTCTCCGCTGTGGTGGCATCCGCGTCGGGAATGGAAAGCACCTCGGTCATCCACAGCTTCTTGTTGTATTTCTGTGCAATTTCGATGGTGTAGGTGAGCGCCTCGTCCGCGGACAAGCCCCCGTTCACGTGCGCGTCGTGGCCCTCGCAGCCAGGGCTCAGACCAATCTGCTCTAAGTCGAAGTACTGGCGCATGCTGTAGGCGGTCCTGTTGGAGGGGTCCTGGAGCGCAAACAGCCTCAGGTTGCCAGCCCTGCTGTAGCCGTCCAGGGACTCGCCCCACCACTGCGCGCCCAGCCAGTCCCTGCTCGGGAGGGCGCCGAGGAAGGGGCTAGCGCATCATGGCCGGAGACAGGTGCGAAAACGAGGGGGGGCCATGGAATGTACGACGAGCTCGTGTCGTGACACCACTGGCCTTTGTTTTCTGGCACCGCGTGATCCGTAAACCTGGATAGAAAAAGAAAAAACTTGCATAAACATAAACTGTTGGCGCTCCGCGCGTATGTCTTGGATTTGCGCTGGAGCCTTCTCCCTGGCGCGCGGAGCGCGACAGGGGGCGGCCCCAGCGCGGATCCAAGGAATCCGCGCGGCGCGCCAACAGCTTGTGTTTATGGCGCTGTTTCTCCTTCGACTTGAGCGATCGGAGGCTCTCGGATCCACAGATCGTTCCAGAACTGCCTGGCTCTGGGCCACCTGCGGCGCTCAAACTTGAAAACACGCGGCGAGGTCGCCGCCGCGTCGCCACGACACGAACCTACCGTATGGTAAGGCACCGAACTCTATACACAGGCGCTTTTTCTGGCCCCGCACTAAAACTCGCACAGGAAGGCGGATCCTGGTGTACACGGGATCCCGGTGTATAATTTTTTCGCTGCTTCCCAGAGAAAAACGGTGAGAAAGTATACACCACACCACCCCAACGTCGTCCCCGACCCTCCAAAAGTCCAAAAGTCATGGGATTGAAAAATAGCCCGCAACTGGTCATGCAGATGCTCCAGTTTCCGATCTGGAGCGAAGCAGAGGGGGCCACGAAATCTGCAAGATCTCGTGGCCCCAGCACTGGCAGGCCACTGGCAGGCCTGAGCTGGATCGAATTCCGACCAGCCCTGGCCGATGCCGGCGACTCGAATCGAATCGGCAGCACGGCCCCAGCCGGCGAATGGAATCGCATCGGGTCGCAGGCGGCCCTGGCTGGTTCTCACCCGTCTCTGGCGAAGCCGAAGGTACCGATGCCGCTGCTCCCCTGCCCCAGACCCCTCCCAAGGCGGCGTCGTGACAAAGACTTCGAGGCGAACCCAGCCGTGACGGCGGTTGCCTCTCGGGAGGCTCCACAAAAATGCGAGAACGAGGGAAGGGTAGGCGTACAGTAGGGGCCCGACCACAAGAAACCTGCCACAAGGAACCCAACCCTGAGACCCCAGGACGTCCATCGATTTTTGGTGCGGGAACGTCACGCTTTCCATCGCAAAACCATGGAACCCCAGGAAACCCAGGGGACCCTGTAGGCAAGCTGGGTGTTTCTTGGCATGGGTATCCACTGTATGGGTACCGTGTCTTCCTCTGATTGTCCTCGCAGCTCCAGGCCTGGCAAGGGACTTCTTCAGCCCGGGCACGAGGACGTAGTTATCGGCGCCCTGCGCGCGGATGGCGTCGACCGCTCCCTGGCACCACTCCAGCCAGGCCTGGACATACTCGCCGTTCGTGTCGTCACCCCAACCGAAGAAGCCCGTGTTGCCGTCGCCTCAAACGGGCCCTGGAAACGACAAGGCCGTTTTGTTGGGGAACGTGTTTCAATCATGGATTTACGGTTCCGTGGACACTGTTTGTTCCCGCCCTCTTCCGATTCAGGCGCCGTGCTTCTGCTTCGGTGATCAACTTCTTTTACCGATCTCACAGCGAGTGAGTAGCCGGATTCCCAGAAACTGTAATCAAAAACAGTTTACAGGGCCCACTAAGGTTGTCGCCACAATCCCCATTGTGACAACCATACTCGGGGTAGTCGAACAGCTCGAAGATGACGCGGTCGTTCTGGGCGAATTCCTTGGAGATCGCCGTCCAAAGGTTGACGAAATCGTCCATGGTGGCCTCCTGATCTTCGTACCTTAGGCCACCGTTGGCCGAACCGCTGAAGGGCACGACAATGGCGTAGTCCTCGAGGTCCTCCGTGATGTACCTGATGGTCTCGACAAACTCCGACACGGGGTCCAGCTCGTTGCTGCCGAGGCTGGACCTCAGCGGTTCTTCAAGACGCTAGGGGTAATTGCTCCCCCGTTTTCCGCTTTGCGCTCTCGCCTCGACAGGAACGTGTAGAGACCGACACCCCGGAAAATGTGGGCGTGAGGCAAACGGCACTGTGAGATCCGAAAAGATATCGAGAACGCAAATGAATACGGAAAGATATCGGGCAGGTGGGCTACGGGCCGATCCCGAACATGAAAGCGTAACAGAGCTGCGCACAAAGAAACAACTACAGCAGGGGCCCGACCACAAGAAACCTTCCACAAGGAACCCAACCCTGAGACCCCAGGACGTCCATCGATTTTCGGTGTAGGAACGTCACGCTTTCCATCGCAGACCCATCGAAACTCAAGAAACCCAGGGCACCCTGGAGGCAAGCAAGGTGTTTCTTGGCATTGGCCTGCGCTGTAAAAACATCCGTGTTTCAATACGGGAGAAGATGCCCTCAACGCTCTCCACGGCACCTGAGGGCCGGACTGCAGGCGATTCCAAGTGATGGGCACCCGGAAGCAGTTGGCCCCCTGCCCGTGGAAGTGCTCGATGTCTTCCTGGTCGGGCTCGCTGAACTGCGCCTGAACGCCCGCGCCCTGCTCGAAGCCGCTGGCGGTCAGGCCCACACACCACAGGCCAACCATCGGGTCCTCTGGGGCGACACTCCTCCTCCTCCTCCTCCTCCTCCTCCTCCTCCTCCTCCTCATACAAAGGCACTGATGCCGCTGACCCCCAGGCCTCATTAGAAAGAGGTCGGGACAACACAACAACATCGGATCAGGACAACTCGGGGATCTCTGAGATCCGCGGCTCTGCAGGATGTACGGGGCGCCACGGCCGTTCCGGAAAGCTCCGTAACGCTCTGGAACGATTGCAGTCAACCCGTATCGTCAGGATGCGCGATAAGGATACAAAGGCCTTGGACGCCCATTTCGAAGCTTTTCGAGAGGGGCGCGGCCAACGAAAATAGGCTGAAAAGTGCCAAAAACCTTCCGTCGTGATTTGTGTCGGGCGGGAGGTAATGGGGGTGACCCAAATGTGGGGTTAAGAAAAGGGCCCTTTTGGAGCCACTTGGTGCCCAACAGGTGCCCGAAAGTGCCCCTTTAGGGCCCATTTTTCACTTTCCATTTAGGTCACCCCCCTTTCCATCAGGTCGGGCATGTCCCCCCCCTACAGGCAGATCTTGGACGAAGAACAAAACATATTCAAAAAAAATAGTCGAGCAAAACGTCCCCCAGACTATGTTTTTCTGTTTTTGAAAATTCCCTCCTGTAGAGGGACACGCCCGACTTAACAGTACCATCCGCCCGGTCCTGGCCCACCCGAAGGCTTCCCCCGGGGTGCGTTATGACTCTAACTTCGGGGGGGGGCCTCGCCGTGGCGACGAAGGAGGAGCCGAGGTGCTTGCACTCGGACGTCCGACGTCGCGGAAACAAATTGCGACGTCGTGACACATCACGACCGGAACCCGGAGATCTCGGTGCGGCATTCCTCGAGCCAGATCGATCTGTGAGGGCCCCAGGGCCCAAGACTGGGCGCAGACGCCCAGTGTGGAAAACCTGCATGTCGCCCAAATCTCCGATAAATGTCTCTAGACACGTAAACGCCCTGCTTGTTTCAATCCGCGGACCCCCCAAAAAAACCCGACCCATTCCCCAGGGCCGGCTCTCCGTGCCGAGTCGTTTCTGGACGGTCCCGAGGCCCGGCGGGGGCCCCGGGGGGCTGCGAACGGCCAAAAACCTTCCGTCGTGATTTGTGTTGCGACGCGAGATTGTATGGTCTGAGATGCTGATTCTGGGGACCTTGTTGGAGCCTATCGCTCCACTCGTGCGTCGAAGCTGCGTCGAACGCCCGTCGACTCGAGTCGAACCTGAGTCGAACCTGAGTCGAACCTGGGTCGAACTTGAGTCGAACTTGAGTCGAACCTGAGTCGAACTTGAGTCGAACCTGAGTCGAACCTGAGCCGAACAGATCCACTAGGCGGGCCCCAGAAAAGGTTCCCAAAACGAGCATCGAATAGGTCGGTACGAGTACGTTTTTCTTGTCTGATCCTCGTAGTTCTTCCCGTACAGCTCCGAGACCGCGAAGCCGCTCGAGCCCACGCCGCCGAGAGCGAGGGCCAGCGCCGACGGCACGATGCGCTGGGAGAAGGTCGCGGCCATCGCGCTGCGGCGGGGCGGAGGGGGGCCTCCCAGATGGGGTCCGAGTAGATGGGCTCGGAGGATCGCGCCGCATCACCGATGCATCGGCGATGCAGCTCAATGTGGAGCCGACTTTCTCCACGCCGACGTCGCCGATGCATTGCCGACGTCGCCGATGCATCGCCGATGCGGCGCGATCCTCCGCCCCCATCTACTCGGATCCCATCTGGAAGGCCCAGAGGCGGAGGGGGGCCGTGGAGGGCGGCCGGTTCGCCGCGATCGCGAGGGCTGCAGAGGCTTGAGCTTGTGCCAAGACGACTGCGGGGCACGATGGTGGTGGCCACGACGACGATGATGAAAGTAATCACGATACCGACGACTGCTATGAGAGCGGAGGCAATGACAATGACGAGGCTGATGGTGATTGCCGATTGACAATTGAAGACGACGACGGCGACGGCGACGGCGACGGCGACGACGACGACGAGGACGACGAGGACGACGACGACGATGACAACGACGACGTCGACATTGATGACGATGACGACGTTGATGAAGACGTTGACGACGACGACGACGACGACGACGACGACGACGAGGACGGCGACGACAACGACGAGGACGACGATGACGACGACGAGTCGGGACGACGTCGCTGATGCAAACATTGACGACGACGGCAATGACGAAGGCGCCGACGATGATGACGAGGATGGTCATGCTGATGGTGTGATGATGACGATAGTGATTATGATGCTGGTGTAGATGATGGAGCTCATGTTGTGATGGGCGCCACGGATTGCGAGGGCGCCGTCGCAGCCCACTGACCATCAGCGGTCGCCCCTCCGGCCAAAGTCCACGAGGAGGCGCCAAAACGCTGCTCGCCCGAGGCGTGCTGGAGGGGTCGGGACTTCGGTCCCAAACATTCGTTGGGGGTGTCGAACCGTGGGTTCCCTTCCGCGGGGCCTCGGTCCCAAACATGGGATGCCTGGATTTGTTTTCAATGTGCAGATCCCGGACGCCCCGACCCTCTCCGTCGAACTTTCCGCGTGCCTTCAAGAATGGCGGCGGTGCAGTAAGTCGCTGGCCGTGCTGAACTGCGATGTGCCATGCCGCGATTGTGCTCTATAGCGTTGTGGATCGAGTCCTCCTTTGCATCCGAGCCCTGACCGAACTGATCTGGATCTTAAGCTCGAGCTGCCTGAGCACATAGTAGCTGCCCCAGAGCAAATTGGCAGGGGGACATGCCAGGAGGACGCGCCGCGGAACGTCCCAAGGGACGCGCCAGGCGACGTGCCAGGGGACGTGCCATGGGGACGCACCGCGGGACGTGCCAAAGGGACGCGCATCGGAACGTGCTGGGGACAAGCGTTGCGCTCGAGACATCCTGCCCAAATCCTCATGCTAGACATCCTCCTGGGCGACCTGAACACGTGAAAACAAGCGTTTCGCTCAACACATCCTCAACACATCCTCATGCTAGACATCGCCTGGGCGAACTGGACACGTGAAAACAAGTGGTTCGCTCGAGACATCAGCTTCATGTTAGACGTGTGCCTTGGTGACCTGGGCACGTGAAAACAAGCGCTTCGCTCGAGACGTTTTCAACACCTCCTCATTCTAGACATCCGCCTGGGCGACCTGTACACTTGGAAGCAAACGTCTCGCTCGAGACGTTCTCAACACCTCTTCGTGCTAGACATCCGCCTGGGCGACCTGGACACGTGACACCAGGCGTCTCGCTCGACACATCCTCAGCACATCCTCATACTAGACATTCGCCTGGACCCATGTGTTTTCACGCGTGCCCCGCCCTGGGGCGTTAGGAACCCATGTGTTTTCAAGCTTCTCCCGCCCTGGGGCATTAGAAACTATGTGTTTTTACGTTGTTCCGCCCTGGGGCGTTAGGAACCATGTGTTTTCACGCTTCTACCGCCCTGGGGCGTTAGGAACCCATGTGTTTTCACGTTTACCCCGCCATGTGTTGTCGTGCTTCTCGAGCCTCTTCGGGCCTCCTGGGGGGACCGGGGGGAAGCGAAAAGCGCTCGCCGAACACATATCCAAATATACAGACATGGTCGACGCACGAACCCGAACAAGAATTGCTACTCTTTTTACAGCGGTGAACGTTTGATGGCAGAGCCGGCCGATGCATATGCTAGGAAGGCTTGGCTTAAAGATCCAACTCCCACAGGGAGCGCTCAGGCGGGTGATGTCGGGGGGTAGCTTGAGCAACATTACGGCGACAGAAGTAAAACTTTTAGCAAACCCCTGCCACGCAGAAACATGCTACTCTTTTTACAGCGGTGAACGTTTGATGGTAGAGCCGGCCGATGCATATGCTAGGAAGGCTTGGCTTAAAGATCCAAATTCTTTCGCAAAAACGGAAGTTCACAGCGCAGCGGCAGGCCCCTGTGTTAAATCATTGGGGCTCGGACCCCACGAGGACAGGACCCTGGGCCGGCGGAGTGGCGTCGGACATGACCTTGAAAGGAGGGTGTTGACCAAAAAATACAAAGCCTGGAAGGGTAGGCAGCAGCTTTGCTCGTCATTGAGCTACCCTCAAGGGTAAGGTGCTTCTTGTTCAACCTAAAACTGCAAAACCCGTGCTTCCCGCCACAGCGGTATCTCCAGGATTCTGACTTCAGAAGGCCTAAATCGGACACGTTCAGGAAAAGAAGATCGGTTGCCTTACGATATCACGTTCCGAAGGCGCACTGATGGATGGTCACCCTCTCAAGGTTCGGCACAGCTCGATTCAGCGACGGATCAGACCACAGCCTAGAAGTCTGTGGGTTCTCGAGGGCACAAGGAATACCGTGCTTTCGGCACGCCCGCAAAACAAGTATGCAGGTATCTAGGCAAGCGCTTCCAACCTTTACTTTATATGCATCGAGGGGGGACAGATCGGGCAGGCCTCGCACGTGCAAGGCGTCGCGCACAGGGTATCTGTTGCGCGCGACTGAGACAGTGGCGCACGGCGGTGCCATCATCACGGCCACCACCCTGCTGTCAGCAAGATGTCTGAGAATCAAACGTATATTCACTTTGGCTGTCAGAACTTGATCTGGGGCGTTCCGTAAGTCCAAACTGACTACGGGCAGGCCCCAGCGGGCGGCAGCTCGGCGAAGCCCGCCGCCGCCGCCGAAAAGATCGAGGACATACCGTCTCGGGGCCGTCAAGAGCGCCTGGCACGCCTGGAAACGGGCTCCGCTCCGCGCCTGAGGCACGGAGGCTCGGGCGCCGCGTCCCCGCGTGGGAAGATCCCTTCGATCATCCTCAGGCAGATAGACATGGCCCTGGCCCTCGGAGACCAGCTCCCGCCACGCCTGGTGGACGCGCCCAGCCTCGCCGCACCTCCTGACACCTCGAACCGCCAGCCACTTCTCGCGCTTCATCACCAGCTCCTGGGTTCTGAGGCTCTCGGCGCGGTCGGCGCTGGCCCCCGTGTGAAGCCCCCGAGATTGCACCACTGCCCCGTTCAGGTTGTCGGCAACGCGCCTGAGGACGCTCACGGGCTCGCGGTAGTTCCAGCCCAGGAGGCGCTCCGAGCCCTGGGGGCGCTTGGAGAGCGCCCGGAAGATCGCGCCCGCCCAGCCGACTCGCTACGAGTCCAGGGGGATGCTGTCGTCGCTCTCGACGGTCTTGGACAGCAGGCTGGACTCCTGTGGGAAGAGCGGGAGCACCCCCGCGGCCACCCCGCCGTGGGCGGGTGGCCGGAAAAAGGCCCGCGTCAGGGCCAGCATCTCTCCAGGGCACAGGTACCTCTCCACCATGGTCAGGGTCAGTACTGCGGCCATCAGGAAACCCGAAATCGCGATCTCCACCGCAATGGACACCCACATGCCCACGGTCAAGGGCCTTCTCAAGCGAGATGGCGACCCCCTGCACCACCCCTTCAGCGCGCGCAGGGTGCGCCGCGGCTTGTCGTAGCCGTTCTTCTTGTAGCGCGGCGAGTGAGAGATGATGCCCGCCAGGAGCCTCTCCGCCCTCCAGTTTGTGTGATCCTGCTCGAACTCGTGGTTCGTGAGCTCGGTCAGGGCGACGCCCCGACGCGCGGGGCCCTCCACCGTCTCTGAGAAGGGGCCCCAGCTCAAGAAGGCGAGGACGCGCTGGCGGCACTGGGCAGCAGCTGTCTCGGTCACGGACCGAGCTTCCAGCGGCGTCGGCCGCGCGCCCAAAAGGGCTGCGCCCATCAGGGCACTGAGGCGCGGGTACACGTGGCTCTTCCCGCGCCGCCCCAGGGCCCTCTGGCGGGCCGCCGTCGCCGCCCTCTCCTCGGGGTCCGGAGCCGTCGCTCTCGCTGCCGTCCTCTCCCTCGACGTCCGCGGGGGCGTCTCGGCCGGCCAGGCCTGGCGCCCCGGCCAGCCTGTCTGGGATCTCGTCCGCCACCTGCGCCAGGAAAGCCTCCGTAGTCCGCGCTCGAGCGGGGCCCGCGCGAAGCCCGGGCCAGCCTCGCTCCAGAGAACGGCTGCACGTCGTCAGGCGGCTGGTCAGACCCCGCTCCAGGGTAGGGGTGCACACGCGGGTCGCCTGTCCCTCCGAGCTCGGCCGAGCAAGGGACGCAGCCCAGCAGCGACTGTGCGCAGGGGCCGACGACGCGGGCGGACGTCCGCCCGGAGGGCGACCGGGGGCCGACGGCAGCCACTGGCGCTGGTCCATCCGTCGCCCTCACGGCATCGGTCTGGCTGAGGCTCGGCGCGGAAACAGGGTCGGTCCGGGGAAAAGATCCAGAGCCCAAATGGCTAAGGAGGAGGTCCGAGGCGGGGGAGGGATCGGCCAGACTGACATCCGGCTTGGGCTCCGCGCGTGGCAGCTCGGGGCCCAGATGAGAAACAAGGGTCTTATCAGCATCATACAAGGCATCGTAAATACGGCTACCCTCGTCCCCAGACTTGAACTCACTGGGGATCCATCGGAAATAGAATCGAACATTCCGAGCGAGGGCCAAACTAAAGAGTCGCCATAGTTGCACAAGCACCCTGTAATCCCTCGACCTCCCCCGAGCAAAACAGAGCGTGATGGCCAAACTATCACCGAGCAGCAGGACCCAACAGTTTTTCACGGCCCCTATGCGCAGGGCGCGAGCTCCAGCCTTGACCACAGCCCTGGCTTCAAGGCGCAAAATGTCGCCGGCGCGCAACCAGCGATCAGCGAGAATAGCGTGCCAGCGGTCGCCGGCAAGGAGGCGGCTGGGCACCTCAACAAAATCCTCATTGCGTTACCACCGCGCCGCCTCCAGAATCTCTCTCGCCCCCGTGTCGAGCCGCACGGGCCGGCCCAGGAAGTCGCGCTCCACGTCGCCGCTCTCAGGGTCCACCTCGAAGCCGGCAACCTCGAAGACGTGCTCTCGGGCTCGGGCGCCGCCCAGGCGGTAGCGGCTGAGCTCAGGCACGCGCCCGACCTCGGCCACGTCACGATGCGACCATAGGGATTGGGAGACGCCGAAGCCGTGGAGACTCGCGTCGCTGGCGTAGACGCAAGGCGTCCACGGCTGGCTCCAGTCGGCCTCGACACAGATCATCGCCCCGGGGAAAGCGTTGAGCTTTTTCGCGAGCTGAGTCCCACAGACGCTGGAACTTCGCGTAGGACTCCCGAACGAACCGATAAACCGCGTGGAAGATCGACAGGCGCTCCCGACGCATCAGGCACAGGAAAACAACGTACCCGAGGACGGCCTCGACCTGCCAGCCAGAGACCTTCCTCTGCCGAAGCAACGCCCGGACGCCACGGCGTACCAGGGCAAAACGCTTGTCACTGGGCCGGGCGACTCGGGCGTCGCCGTCAAGATGCCAGCCCAGAGAGGGCCCGCCGTGGTCGAAGACCTCCATCTCGTGGAAGCGCAGCGCGTCGGCGTCGAAGTCCCTCTGGGCCTCCGCCAGAGCGCGGCCCACCAGGTCGCCGTCGAAAGAGAGCACGCCAGCGTTGTCGACATACATGTAGTGGCCAGACCCTACCGAGGCGGAAAGCCCGCCGAGGACCAAGGCCCCCGGTCCGAAAGCTCCTGCCTCTGCCGCAGCGCGGGCTGGCGGCCCAGGCGCTGGGCGTTCGCGGTCTGGGCGAAGTGCAGCGACCACGAGAAACCCATCGGAAAGCTCGCACACATGGGCCAGATCTTCTCGTCCGGCCTCACGGCCACCCCGTCGACCTCGGAGACGCCGGCGAACTTGGACGCAAGGGGCGGCCAGCAGAAGTAGCGCCGGATGTCGCCCCCCGCCGTCTTCACTAACCTCATCCTGTGGAAGCAGTCGGCGACGTCCCCGACGCCGAGGTGAACCGGCAAGCCCTCCAGGAGGCCCTCGGGGTCGTCGATCTCCACCCTGGACAGCCCCTCGCCGCTCAGGAGGGCGACGCCTGGGGGCTTCTGGAACAGCTGGTTGGCTCGCCTGCAATCGACGATCAGCCCGAGCTTGTCGGCCTTTTTTGTGACGAAGAAGACTCCCAGCACGCAGGCCGGGTCACGAGTGAAAGTCACCATGCCAACTCTCGCCACCCTCCGCACAAGGCGGCCGCAGGCACGAGGATCCTTCTGCAGCGCCAGGTCAGCGTGGCAGCCCGGCACCCCTTCGTATTGTTTAATTATTTCCGACTCCTGCGCGGGCCGGAGCATAAGCTTCTCAAAATCCTCGAGGTGCTTCCTCGCCTCCGAAGGCAACATCGAGATGAGTGACGGAAACCCGTGCAAGTCACTCGGCATAGATACCTTCGAGTACTCGCAGGACCCGACACTGCATGAAGGCGCCGGCGCATACCCCGAGCGCCCCTTCAAGAGCCTGGCCAAGGCCCAACGTTCGCTGACGGCGCTGTCAACGTCGCACCAGCGGGAGGCCGCCTCCACGACGCGCTGCCGCACATCAGCTTGTAGGCCCAAAATCTTCTTCTCGGTGGACGCCGACATCTGCCGTGGGGCAGGTCGATGATCCCCGCCGCGCATCCAACTCAGTGCCTCAATGGCCGCGTTGATGTCTCGCAGCAGCCGTCTGCGCCCCCCGCCCGCGGCGGCCGCAGGGATGCCCACGGCACTCAGCGGAGGGAGAGGCAGGAAGGCACGCGCCCTGTGGGGTTCGCAGGCGACGGTCGGGCCGTCGTCGCCCTGGGCGCCCAGCATCACGTGGCCGGCGGCCGCGCGCCTCGCCCGCGGCCGCCTCTGCCTCTACCTTCTCCTGCTCTGCCTCCGCCGGCCTGGTCGCCCTCAGCCTGCGGGGGGGGCAACCCGCGGCGGCCGCGGCGGCGGCGCCCGGGGCGGCCCCCGAGTGGGGCGCGCGGGCGTGGGCCCGGAGACTCCCCAGTTCCAGCTCGTCCTTGGCATGCCGCGCGGCGCACATGCACATCCCCTTGGAGACAAGGTCCAGGGCCGAAGAGGTGGCGCCGAAGTGCTTGGCTGCGCTCCAATGGGGATTGTCCACTTCCCCCGCGTAGGCCTCCACGTACTGCAGCAGACGCCGGGCGACCGCATCCAGGGCCGCGGCGGCGCCCACGTTCAGCTGGTCGTCGCTGCCGACCAGCCAGAGACACTCGATGAGACACTCAACCTCAGCCCAGGCCCGGTCCTTGCGCGAGATGCCCGTCCCGCGAGCCCACTCCGCGCACCAGACCTTGGGCGTCCTGCCGTGCCTGTGGAGCTCCCCACCCACGGGGAGGCACACCAGGGGCCCTCTGAACCCAGCCGTCTGGGCGCTCTCCTGGTGGCCTCCTGCAGCACCGTCTTCCACCCCTTGTACCTGACCCCCGCGTCGTCGTAGTCGATCCAGCGCACACGGAGGTCGTCGACCTCGGCCGCCTCGGCTCGGGCCGCGGAGGGAGCCAGCGCGGACGGGCGAGGTGACTCGTAGCCGAGCATCCTCTTCCCGAGCAGGTCGCCGACGCCTCGGAGCCAGGAGGCCCCCGGCAGCTTGGCCTCGCGCCGCTCCGACATGCGGCCGAGCTCAACGAGCTCCACTGGGTGATGTCTTCCGCTGCGGCCAGCGGCGATGCCGCATTCGCCCGGCCCACTCAGTCCGACACGAGGTGGCTGGCTAGGGCGCAGCTCGGTGCCGAAGGCAAAACCCCCGTCCCAGCAGGCCAGATCGCCGCACAGCCACCCGTACCCATCGGCAGCCTCCGGCAGAGGCGTGGGCGTGCCGCCGCTCGGCTCCGACGCTGGCACGAGAGCAGCCCCCGCGCCCTCGGCGTCACCGAAGAGGAAGGACATGGCCTGCTTGCCTCGGAGCCGGCGGCCCGAGGTACTGAGGCGGGGCGCCTGCCCAGGGGAGTAGGCTGGATGGCCCATCCGGCCACCCCTCCAGTCCACCGACTCGGGCACGCTGGGATCGGGCCCGTCACCCCCCGTCATCACGGCGGCCTCGGCGCGCCCCCTCGTGACCAGCTCAGCCGCGTCGTCCGGCTCCAGGGCCCGGCTGAACGCCACCGCCGAAGAGACGCCCGTCGGGGAACCCTTCCGCCCTGCGAGCGAGGCCGGGCTGTGGTAGTCGGTTTCCTGCTCCACGTAGAAGTCGCCCCATGGCGTGTAGACAGCCTCCCCGCCGCCGAGCACCAGCAGCAGCAGCAGCCAGCTGGGGATCTCCATCGACGATCCCGCCGCGCCCTCGCCCAGGACATGGGAGCTCTCCGGCCCGTCGCGTGGATACTCGAGGCCACGGGCGGCGGGCAGAGGAGCGGAGCGTAGACGGCCGCCCCGGTCACGCTGGTCTCGGTCGTGCTGATGGTGATAGACGTCCAGATGAACCCAAACAAGACCGCCCGCACGCCACCCGTCGCCAATCCAGTTGGCAGGGTGGAGCAGCCCGCCAGCCGCCAGGCACAAGGCGGCAATCGTACTGCTTGTGGCGGTCCCCGCAAGCTTGCTAGGGCTTTTAGCTTGAGCAACATTACGGCGACAGAAGTAAAACTCTTAGCAAACCCCTGCCACGCAGAAACAATAGAAATATAAGGCATGGCGACGTTTCAAAGACACCTGATTGAGCGACGGGCTAACGCAATGCTGAGTGTATCGATCTTGATGCACCGTGCCGAAAGCTGTGCTGTGCTGTGCCGTGCTGAATTGCGATGTGCCATGCCGCGATTGTGCTCTAAATGGTTGCGGATCGAGTCCTCCTTTGCATCCGAGTCCTGACCGAACTGATCTGGATCTTAAGCTCGAGCTGCCTGAGCACATAGTAGCTGCCCTGGAGCTAAGTGACAGGGGGACATGCTAAGAGGACGCGCCGCGGAACGTCCCAAGGGACGCGCCAGGCGACGTGCCAGGGGACGTGCCATGGGGCCGCACCGCGGGACGTGCCAAAAGGACGCGCTACGGAACGTGCCAATGGACGTGCCACGGGACGTGCCAGGGGACGCGCCGCGAGAAGTGCCAGGGGGACTCGCCACGGGATGCGCCACGGAACGTGCCAAAGAACGTGCCAAGTTGCAATGCTGAGTGTATCGATCTTGATGCACCGTGCCGAAAACTGTGCTGTGCTGCGCTGTGCTAAACTGCGATGTGCCATGCCGCGATTGTGCTCTATAGTGTTGCGGATCGAGTCCTCCTTTGCATCCGACTCCTGACCGAAGTGATCTGGATCTTAAGCTCGAGCTGCCTGAGCACATAGTAGCTGCCCAAAAGCAAATTGGCAGGGGGACATGCTAAGAGGACGCGCCGCGGAACGTCCCAAGGGACGCGCCAGGCGACGTGCCAGGGGACGTGCCATGGGGACACACCGCGGGACGTGCCAAAAGGACGCGCTACGGAACGTGTCAATGGACATCCCGCCTCATGCTAGACATCGGCCTAGGCGAACTGGACACGTGAAGACAAGTGGTTCGCTCGAGACATCCTCAACACATCTTCATGTTAGTCGTCTGCTCCAGGCCCCCAGGAAGGCCCCAGGAGGCCCATGGTAGATACCCCCGTCGGTGGCCTGGACACGTTAGAGAACCTGGTTCCACCATGTCAAATACCCCCTTCTGGGCGGCCTGGACTCGTCAAACCACGTGGTTCCAATTCGGAACTATAATGTTAGATACCCCCCTGGGTGGCCTGGACACGTAAAAACACGTGGATCCAGCTCTGGGCAACCATGTTAGATACACCCCTGGGTGGCCTGGACACGTTAAAACACTTGTGTCAAGCTCGGGACAACCATATTAGGTACACCCCATTGGGTGGCCTGAACACGTGAAAACGTGGGTGCCAGCTGTGGGCCACCATGTTAGATACACCCATATGTGGCCTGGACGCGTTAAAGCACTTGCTCCTTTCTCGGGACAACCATCATGGATTCCCACCTGGGTGGCCTGGACACGTAAAAACATATGGTGCCAGCTCGGGACAACCATGTTAGATACACCCGATTAGGTGGTCTGGACACGTAAAAGCACGCCGTTCCGGCTCGGGGGACCATGTTAGATATCCCCGTGCGTGGTCTGGACAAGTAATTACTCCGACGGAAGGACCCCGCATGAGAATTTGTTTAGTTTGCCCTTAACCCTTTCCTCCTCGTCCTGGAAAACCCCCTCCTCTCGCCCACTGCTCTGCCCTCCCCTCCTCCTCCTCCTCCTCCTCCTCCTCCTCCTCCTCCTCCTCATCCTCCCCCTCCTCTTATTATTATTAGTCGTCTTCTTCTTACTATTAGTATGCTTCTTCTTTTTCGTATGATTAGCAATATTCTCAACCTTAATATTATTTTCCCTTCTTATTATTATTCGTATTACTCTTAGTATTGGTATTATTATTATTCAGTTCATTACTACTGTTATTCGTCTTACTATTATGTTTCTTCTTATTCCCTACCTAGGCTCTGCCTAGAAGGGTTCTTACTGTGTTAGCTCAAAGGGGCCGGGCAGTGTTCCTCGCCCCGGGCGGTTCCCCCGGCATCCGCCCCGCGGTTCCCCCAGTCCCCTGGGTGCCAAGCAAAATAGCTTAGCTTAGCTTAGCTTAGCTTACCTTAGTTTACCTTAGCTTAGCTTAGCTTAGCTCAGCTTAGCTTAGCTTAGCTTTGCTTATATCATAATAGCTTAGCTTAGCTTAGCTTAGCTTAGCTTAGTTTAGCTGACCTTAGTTTAGCTAAGCTTATCTTAGTTTAGCTTATATCAGATTAGCTTAGCTTAGCTTAACTTGGCCTAGCCTAGCTTGGCTTAGCTTCGTTTCGCTTGGCTTAGCTTAGCTTACCTTAGCTTAGCTTACCGTACCTTAGCTTAGCTTAGCCTAGCTTAGCTTAGCTTAGCTTAGTCATTTTAACTTAGCTTAGCTTAGCTTAGCTTAGCTATATTAGCTTAGTTTAGCTTAGCTTAGCTCAGCTTAGCTTATGCTGCGTTCCTAGGGGCTCCAACTCCTAGGCAGGGTCGCATTGGGATTATTGTTATGCTGTTTAGTATTATTAAGATTCGGCTGATGCTTCTGCTTATGTTTATGTTTCTGATTATGCGTATGCTTCGTATTAGCATTATGTGTATTAGTATTCGTCTTAGTTATATTATTATTAGTAGTAGTGGCAGTAGTATCATTAGTATCAATATTCTTAGTATTATTATTACTCCTCCTCCTCATCCACCACCTCATCCTCCTCTTCCTCCTCCTCCTCCTCCGCCTCCTCCTCCTCCGCCTCCTCGTCCTCCTCCTCCTCCTCCTCCGCCTCCTGCTATTTCTCCTCCTCGTCCTTCAATATATCCTCCTCGTCCTCCTCCTCCTCCTCCTTTCCCTCCCTTCCACTCCCCTCCTCCTCCTCCTCCTCCTCCTCCTCCTCCTCCTCCTCCTCCTCCTCCTCCTCCTCCTCCTCCTTCCCTCCCTTCCTCCTCCCCTCCTCCTCCTCCTCCTCCTCCTCCTCCTCTCCTCCTCCTCTTCCTCCTCCTCCTCCTCCTCCTCCTCCTCCTCCTCCTCCTCCTCCTTTCCATCCCTTCCACTCCCTCCTCCTCCTCCTCCTCCTCCCTCCTCCTCCTCCCTCCTCCTCCCTCCTCCTCCTCCTCCTCCTTTCCCTCCCTTCCACTCCCCTCTCATCCTCCACCTCTCCCCATCCCTCCTCCCCCCTCCCCCCCTCCCGCCTCCGCCGCCGCTCTCCCTCTCCCCCAAACCCTCCCAGGACGTCCGCCGTGCTAATACATGGACGAGCGAACTTCGGGGGGGTGCACAATGGGAGGCGCCCATCCTCGATCAGCGCTGCGTCCGAGTAGTCCCCTTGGGGCGTATCCCCGATCTCCCCCCCCTCCAGGAACGGGCAGCCCCTGGTGGTGGGGGGGGAGCTCGGGGATCGGGGGCGCGAAACCGCCTGCGCTTCACGTGCGCTCCCCTCCCGCCCCATCCGGCCTCCCCCGCGCGAGCCTTTTCTCCGTCGCCGCGGGGCACGATCCCCTGGCCTCTGAAAGCGCACGGCGTCATGGCCGTCGGCATGGGAGCGGACAGCGGTTACTGCACCTCCTCCTGCTGAGGGAAGGGGGCGGCGTTTGAGACTGCCCGTCGGGGGGGGCCGGGCTGAGGTCTGCCTCCTCGCGAGGTAGCAGCTCGGACCTCCCTTCGACGAACAGCTTACCCTGGCGACGTACCCAACTCCTGCGCAGTGCGGGGCACGAGTAGCCTGGGACACGCTATACCTATACGACCACCCTTCGGGTGATAAGGAGGTTGTGGGGGGGGGGAGGGGGGGGAACCAACATCTGATTCAATCAATATCACTGTCGATCTCACTCAATGGGACACCACGGGACACCACGGGACACTTGTCGATCTCACTATAGATCTCACTATCGATCTCACTCAACGGGACACCACGAGACACAACGTGCCACCGCGGGACACATCTCGATCTCACTATCGGTCTTACTATCGATCTCACTATCGATCTCACTTAACGGGACACCATAGGAAGCCACGGGACACCACGGGACACCACGGGACAACTCGGGACACCACATCGATCTCACTATCGATCTCACTATCGATCTCACTATCGATCTCACTATCGATCTCACTATCGATCTCACTCAACGGGACACCACGGGACACCACGGGACACGGGACACCACGGGACACCACGGGACACCTGTCGATCTCACTATCGATCTCACTAGCGATCTCACTTTTTGGGACACCACGGGATATTTCGGGGCACCACATCGATCTCACTATCGATTTCACTATCGATCTCACTATCGATCTCACTATCGATCTCACTATCGATCTCACGATCGATCTCATTCAACGGGACACCAGCCACAGGAAGATTTCGGGACACCAGCGGGACACCGGCGGGACACCGCGGTCCACCGGCCGCCGGAGGAGAATCGTTTGGTCCGGCCGCGGCCCAGCCACAGGAGGATTTCCTCTCGCCCGCCCACGCAGCTTCGCCTCGCCCGCACGCACGCACGCACGGCACGCACGACACGAACCCGAAACCGAAATCGATTTCCTGGTAGGGGGGTCTTCGTTTCACGTCGGATTCGCCCCCCAACCTCCAACAGAGGTGATGACGTGACATGGGCGCATATAATTCTGCGAGCAGCATTCGTGAGGCTCGCAGCCCCCAAGGGATGGCGAGGTCCCGCTCAGATCTGCGTGGTGGCTCACTCCGCTGGACCCGCCAGCAGCCTTCGAAAGTGGCGATGGCGACAATTTCG